CTCCCTGCTCCGTGGGAAGCCTGCTTCTCTCTCTACCAGTCCCTCTGCTTGTGTTCTCTCTCTCGCTATGTCTCTCTCTGTCAAATAAATAAATCTTTAAAAAAGTAAAATAAATGTTTCTGGGGTAATTCCACAACAAGTTCCTAGAACTCCCTACTATTCATGCAAGAATGGCCAGGAGGTAGCAGTATCTGTTCTCAAAAACCTCTGTCACCACAAAACATCACCAGCTTATCTGCTTATCCCAAAGGCCACATAAATCCAAAACTGGACTCAGAGCTCCAGAGACACCCTCTTGTGGTTAAAAAACAAACTCTGAGCCCTATGAAATGAATACTCCTAAAAAGGATGGTCATGGAACATCATCCATGTCCCATTACTAGAGAAGTTATCTATGATAAAATAGGAGTGTAGCTACTCCATTTCAACCATGTAGATACAAAATTTATATGGGAAAGCGATCAGAGGCCATGATGAAAGGTCTTGAGCATTCAGGACAAACCTTTATCCTTCTTTGTCTCTATGGCAGTTTAGTCCCCCACTTTCCATATGCAGCAGTTACTTTATTTCTGAAAAGAAAGGCAATGGTTCATAACACTCCCCAAGGAAGTGCAAAGCACCACTCAAACTCTAATTCTAATCTCCTGGGTGCACACATTGTTCACAGTTTGCCCAGAATACAATAATATAACAAACATACATGTATAGCTGTTACACAACCTAACCGAAATATGTGAAAATTCCACAACTGGTCAACCTCGATTCCTCCCTCCCCTGTACGCCCCATTAGACAATGAGTGACCACGTTCTAAAGCTTTAATTCCCACAGATTGGCTCACTCCATCCACAATGCCCTGGTTTCTCTGAAGGACAGGACAACTGCAAAAGCTAGCCCAACTATCTCCTGGTCTCCAACCTGTAACTCCATCGCTTCCCAACTCCCAAACCCATCACACCTGCCCTGAAAGAAAATGCACGTCCTCTCCAAGCTGCTGCTTCCCGACTTGCAAAAAGGAAAGCTGACTATAAGCTAACTTCCTAGGCATTTAGGAGAATGACTATAAATAAGTGAAAAGTCCTTTAAAAATAGACGATATCAATCTCACATAATCATGGGAGCAAAAGTGGTGCTAATTTTCTTTTAAAAAGAAGATATTAAACAATATCACCTAATTCATTTTCATACCATCATCCCAGAAACCACAGTACCATCCCAATTATCACCTAGGAAATAAACAAGGCCAAAAAGAAGTCATCCGTTAACGATTTGAAGGTAAAATTCCACCTAGCCAGGTGCCAAACAGGTGTTTTGCCACGAACAAGCTTTTCATTACCAAAGCATACAGACATTTCTTCTGGGAAAAAGAATCCTTCTGATTGTTTAAATCTGTTTATTTTGTTGATCCTTAGTTTATCACCCAGTGATTCCCTTCCTTATCAAGTCATGCAGAAAACAGTCGCCAGGTTCTCTAGAGAGGTTATTTTTCTATACCTTGCTTGCCTAAGCCCAGAGCCTTGCTGGCACACGGTGGGCATTCAGTAAATGCCTGGCCGAATAAATAAATGCCTCAAAACTTCCAGACAGCTATTCCTAGCTCTAGAAAAGCAGATTTCACTTCTCTCGGTAACTGATTCTACATCTGGCAACTTTCAATATTAAAAACTCTCCTTCAGGTACTGAAACTAAATCTCCTTCTGCTATAATTTAACTCCCTTTCTGCAGGTTCCTATTTCTCTAAGAAAGGAACCCACCTATATACCACTTACTTGTCACAGCTCCATTTTTAAATGACAAGGTTTCAATGGGACTCAGTTTTTCTGTTCACTAGGTTTTAAGGATGCTTTCTGGACTTTCTGAAAAGCACTTTGACCAGATGTGTCAAATGGTTTTCCTCTGACCCAGTGATTCTATTTTGGATAACCTGACTTAAGAAAATAATTCCAGGGACGCTTGGGTGGCTCAGTCAATTAAGCGCCTGCCTTCGGCTCTGGGCATGATCCCAGGGTCTGGGATCAAGTCCTGCATCCGGCTCCTTGCTCAGCAGGGAGCTTGCTTCTCCCTCTCCCTCTGCTGCTCCCCCTGCTTGTGCTATCTTTCTCTCCCTGACAAAACAAATAAAATCTTTAAAAAAAAAAAAAAAAAAGAATTCCAGAACTCACTGTAATAGCGCTCCTGGCTACACAGGCCAGGGGTAAGACAGGCTGGTTTAAAGGCAGTGTCTTGGGGTTGAAGGGATGTGTCACCTGTTTCTGGGTGAATTAAATACCTAAAGCCTTAAAAATAATAATGAAAGAACAGCTTCATGTTATTCCACTGCAGTACTATGCAACTTTATAATCAGAACTGGACACACTGAGATCCCTTCATAAACTGAAATGCTTCTCTGGTGAGTAATTACCAAGCATTCACCATTTATTTCCAAAACTAATGATACTGATATCACTGTCTGCTAAACTGGAACATGCTGTGGGGAGTATTTAACAACATTTATTTACTGCAGAAAAAAAAAAAAAAAAGGAACATTCTGTTCTACATTTATAAATCACAACCATGAGAAAAACAAAAAATAAACAACCTAAGAACTGTCAGGCTCTGGCTGACTCCTTGTGGCCTACCCAAACTCTTCAGATTCTCTTCTAAAAACCATTTCTCCCCTGGAGGGTGAAACAAAGAGATGAGTCTAGGCTTGACCCCACCACCTACCAGCCTGCCAGACATCTGACTTTGGACAAA